TTCTTTCACAAAATTACTGATTACTCGGTTATTATTGTAACAAATATTATATAAAATTATGTATTCTGAATCAGAATTGAATTATCTTCAATATAAAATAAAATTTAATTCTATATCTTAAATACTTGTGAAGATATTGAGGCTCAAAGTTGAAACCTTACCTCAAATTTTGCAAAAACTTCCAGGCGGATTATCTGGAAAACGAAGTCCTTGGGCTTGGAGTTTTAAATAACCTTTTTTGTAGCCCTTATGAAGAGCTACAATTGAGCAAAAGATTCATGCCAATAACTTCACTGGTTTCCAAAATATGGCCTTTTGAAATATTTGGAAATCAAATTTCCATGCATACCTCTTTGGAAAAGTTCGAATTTTTGAATTTTCAGTTTTTCGAATTTTTGACTTCACCAATCGATATAAGAGGTTAAAATTAGTAGAAAAGTATTTTCGCAACTTTCCTTTTTGGGTTTTAAAGCCTTATTAAAAAATAAAAACGATTTTTGCAATTTTTGGGCACAGAAAATTTCAAAAATCTGACATTCTTTCACAAAATTACTGATTACTCGGTTATTATTGTAACAAATATGATGTAAAATTATATATTCTGAATCAGAATTAAATTATCTTCAATATAAAATAAAATTTAATTCTATATCTTAAATACTTGTGAAGATATTGAGGCTCAAAGTTGAAACTTTACCTCAAATTTTGCAAAAACTTCCAGGCGAAATATCTGGAAAACGAAGTCCTTGGGCTTGGAGTTTTAAATAACCTTTTTTGTAGCCCTTATGAAGAGCTACAATTGAGCAAAAGATTCATGCCAATAACTTCACTGGTTTCCAAAATATGGCCTTTTGAAATATTTGGAAATCAAATTGCCATGCATACCTCTTTGGAAAAGTTCGAATTTTTGAATTTTCAGTTTTTCGAATTTTTGACTTCACCAATCGAAAGAAGAGGTTAAAATTAGTAGAAAAGTATTTTCGCAACTTTCCTTTTTGGGTTTTAAAGCCTTATTAAAAAATAAAAACGATTTTTGCAATTTTTGGGCACAGAAAATTTCAAAAATCTGACATTCTTTCACAAAATTACTGATTACTCGGTTATTATTGTAACAAATATTATATAAAATTATGTATTCTGAATCAGAATTGAATTATCTTCAATATAAAATAAAATTTAATTCTATATCTTAAATACTTGTGAAGATATTGAGGCTCAAAGTTGAAACCTTACCTCAAATTTTGCAAAAACTTCCAGGCGGATTATCTGGAAAACGAAGTCCTTGGGCTTGGAGTTTTAAATAACCTTTTTTGTAGCCCTTATGAAGAGCTACAATTGAGCAAAAGATTCATGCCAATAACTTCACTGGTTTCCAAAATATGGCCTTTTGAAATATTTGGAAATCAAATTGCCATGCATACCTCTTTGGAAAAGTTCGAATTTTTGAATTTTCAGTTTTTCGAATTTTTGACTTCACCAATCGATATAAGAGGTTAAAATTAGTAGAAAAGTATTTTCGCAACTTTCCTTTTTGGGTTTTAAAGCCTTATTAAAAAATAAAAACGATTTTTGCAATTTTTGGGCACAGAAAATTTCAAAAATCTGACATTCTTTCACAAAATTACTGATTACTCGGTTATTATTGTAACAAATATTATATAAAATTATGTATTCTGAATCAGAATTGAATTATCTTCAATATAAAATAAAATTTAATTCTATATCTTAAATACTTGTGAAGATATTGAGGCTCAAAGTTGAAACTTTACCTCAAATTTTGCAAAAACTTCCAGGCGGATTATCTGGAAAACGAAGTCCTTGGGCTTGGAGTCTTAAATAACCTTTTTTGTAGCCCTTATGAAGAGCTACAATTGAGCAAAAGATTCATGCCAATAACTTCACTGGTTTCCAAAATATGGCCTTTTGAAATATTTGGAAATCAAATTTCCATGCATACCTCTTTGGAAAAGTTCGAATTTTTGAATTTTCAGTTTTTCGAATTTTTGACTTCACCAATCGATATAAGAGGTTAAAATTAGTAGAAAAGTATTTTCGCAACTTTCCTTTTTGGGTTTTAAAGCCTTATTAAAAAATAAAAACGATTTTTGCAATTTTTGGGCACAGAAAATTTCAAAAATCTGACATTCTTTCACAAAATTACTGATTACTCGGTTATTATTGTAACAAATATTATATAAAATTATGTATTCTGAATCAGAATTAAATTATCTTTAATATAAAATAAAATTTAATTCTATATCTTAAATACTTGGAAGATATTGAGGCTCAAAGTTGAAACTTTACCTCAAATTTTGCAAAAACTTCCAGGCGGATTATCTGGAAAACGAAGTCCTTGGGCTTGGAGTTTTAAATAACCTTTTTTGTAGCCCTTATGAAGAGCTACAATTGAGCAAAAGATTCATGCCAATAACTTCACTGGTTTCCAAAATATGGCCTTTTGAAATATTTGGAAATCAAATTTCCATGCATACCTCTTTGGAAAAGTTCGAATTTTTGAATTTTCAGTTTTTCGAATTTTTGACTTCACCAATCGATATAAGAGGTTAAAATTAGTAGAAAAGTATTTTCGCAACTTTCCTTTTTGGGTTTTAAAGCCTTATTAAAAAATAAAAACGATTTTTGCAATTTTTGGGCACAGAAAATTTCAAAAATCTGACATTCTTTCACAAAATTACTGATTACTCGGTTATTATTGTAACAAATATTATATAAAATTATGTATTCTGAATCAGAATTGAATTATCTTCAATATAAAATAAAATTTAATTCTATATCTTAAATACTTGTGAAGATATTGAGGCTCAAAGTTGAAACCTTACCTCAAATTTTGCAAAAACTTCCAGGCGGATTATCTGGAAAACGAAGTCCTTGGGCTTGGAGTTTTAAATAACCTTTTTTGTAGCCCTTATGAAGAGCTACAATTGAGCAAAAGATTCATGCCAATAACTTCACTGGTTTCCAAAATATGGCCTTTTGAAATATTTGGAAATCAAATTGCCATGCATACCTCTTTGGAAAAGTTCGAATTTTTGAATTTTCAGTTTTTCGAATTTTTGACTTCACCAATCGATATAAGAGGTTAAAATTAGTAGAAAAGTATTTTCGCAACTTTCCTTTTTGGGTTTTAAAGCCTTATTAAAAAATAAAAACGATTTTTGCAATTTTTGGGCACAGAAAATTTCAAAAATCTGACATTCTTTCACAAAATTACTGATTACTCGGTTATTATTGTAACAAATATTATATAAAATTATGTATTCTGAATCAGAATTGAATTATCTTCAATATAAAATAAAATTTAATTCTATATCTTAAATACTTGTGAAGATATTGAGGCTCAAAGTTGAAACTTTACCTCAAATTTTGCAAAAACTTCCAGGCGGATTATCTGGAAAACGAAGTCCTTGGGCTTGGAGTCTTAAATAACCTTTTTTGTAGCCCTTATGAAGAGCTACAATTGAGCAAAAGATTCATGCCAATAACTTCACTGGTTTCCAAAATATGGCCTTTTGAAATATTTGGAAATCAAATTTCCATGCATACCTCTTTGGAAAAGTTCGAATTTTTGAATTTTCAGTTTTTCGAATTTTTGACTTCACCAATCGATATAAGAGGTTAAAATTAGTAGAAAAGTATTTTCGCAACTTTCCTTTTTGGGTTTTAAAGCCTTATTAAAAAATAAAAACGATTTTTGCAATTTTTGGGCACAGAAAATTTCAAAAATCTGACATTCTTTCACAAAATTACTGATTACTCGGTTATTATTGTAACAAATATTATATAAAATTATGTATTCTGAATCAGAATTAAATTATCTTTAATATAAAATAAAATTTAATTCTATATCTTAAATACTTGGAAGATATTGAGGCTCAAAGTTGAAACTTTACCTCAAATTTTGCAAAAACTTCCAGGCGGATTATCTGGAAAACGAAGTCCTTGGGCTTGGAGTTTTAAATAACCTTTTTTGTAGCCCTTATGAAGAGCTACAATTGAGCAAAAGATTCATGCCAATAACTTCACTGGTTTCCAAAATATGGCCTTTTGAAATATTTGGAAATCAAATTTCCATGCATACCTCTTTGGAAAAGTTCGAATTTTTGAATTTTCAGTTTTTCGAATTTTTGACTTCACCAATCGAAAGAAGAGGTTAAAATTAGTAGAAAAGTATTTTCGCAACTTTCCTTTTTGGGTTTTAAAGCCTTATTAAAAAATAAAAACGATTTTTGCAATTTTTGGGCACAGAAAATTTCAAAAATCTGACATTCTTTCACAAAATTACTGATTACTCGGTTATTATTGTAACAAATATGATGTAAAATTATATATTCTGAATCAGAATTAAATAATCTTAAAAATAAAGTAAGACTCAATTCTATATCTTAAATACTTTTGAAGATATTGAGGCTCAAAGGTAAAACTTTGTCTCAAATTTTGCAAAAGCTTCAAAGCCGATTATATTGAAAACGAAGCCCTTGGGCTCGAAGTCTTGAATAACCTTCTTTGAAGCTCTCATTGAGAACTACAATTGCCAGAGTCTCAGCTAGAACCCGTCAAAAAAGTTGACAGAAACTTTTTCTGATAATTTTTCTTAGAATCTGACAATTTTGTTCTCAAATCCTGATAATTTTAAATTTGACATCTGACAACACTGAATAATTTTCAAATATTTTTCTTACCGTGCGTTCGTTATTTTGGTCTGAGTTCTCCGAGCTTGACTTTACCGTTCGTTTATTTAAAAAGTGTACTCGGTGCAGCCTCATTCGCGTTCGTTTATTAAAATTTCCGGTACTTTTATACGGCGTTCAACTGCTCCGTTCGCTCGCTGGTCACGTGATTACGGCTCCGCTCAGCTCGCTCTACACTTTGAGCAAAATATCGAACGCAAGGTAAGGCCTACTACAATACATGTATGTAATTACAGATTTCTGTAATAATTATTGACAATATTTTAAAAGGTTTTAGGTTTTAGTCGATAGATGGCGCCTGAAAATTTATCATATATTACAGAAATCTGTAATAATTATGGGGAATAGTGCTCCTCCAGATTCAAAAAATATATGGTTAAAAAAAAATTTAATATTTTATAATATACAATAAAACAAAGGCATAAATATTTTTATTAAAACTTATACAAACTAAACTATTCTTTATAATATCACATTTTATGTATTTTTTTATTTATTAATTCGTAATTTATTTATTGTCTTTTTACGTCACAATAATCATATAAAATCAGACTACATTTTCATCTTCTGATGATTTTTTAAGACTTTTAAGAAATTCCTTGCCTCCTTGATACCCATAAGACTCCAATTCTTCAACTAAGTTCTCGTTTTCATGTAAAATATTCAACCAGTCGTTGTAAAGATAGTCTTTATGGATTCCACCAAATCTAAAAAAGGTATTTTTTTAATTATTTTAATTCCAATTAACCCGATCACCAGCTAAAATGTAATTTGTCTTTTTTCAATCGTGTTTATTGAAGAAAGATGAAAAACAAGCAGCTAATGATCGGGTTAACCAGATTTTTCTGTGTATTACCTTTTAGGTAAATATTTAGGCGAAACATGTTCGTGAAGACCTTCTAAATCCTGATGAATGAAAACCCTTTTTTTCATTACATCAGAAAGAAACGGTTTCATCATGCTGAAAGCGTAATCGAACACTTTCGAAACGTTTATTATGTGCAAGGCTTCGATACGATGAGGGAGAGATTTCTAGAAAAAATTAAAATAAAAAGGTAAGAAAAACTAGGAAATCTTTAGACAAAAGGCAACCCTGACGCACACACTTTGACACTTACTATCTCTTTCTTTTTTGCACAATTAAAAAGTGACAAACTTAATTGCCTAGTTGCCACATTTACTTACATATGCAATGGCGATAATATGCTTAATAACACTTGGCGACATATACCAGGCTTGACCAGTCGAGATATTACCCACATCCAAAACGCATATTCCACCCATAATTTGGTGCTTGGGTTCCAAAATGGCCGCCTGAATCAAAAAAATGACCGCTTGCAACAGGTCATCGATACTAAATTGGTTCGGGTTCCAGTTTTCTAAAAAAGTTGACACATAAACAATGCTTTAAACGTCAAGTGTCATAATAATATATATGTGCAATCATTTCACTTATTAATTTATTACCAAAAAATATGCATACAAGGTGTGTTTCCACACATTAAATCTTTAAAATTTATTATGGGCACTTATTATTGGTACCCTATAGTTAAAATAATAATTACAAGAGGTTGGTACCGTTTTGCGAAATCCCATTTACTATGAATAATGTGTTGAGCAAAAGTGGAATACACGGTTACTTTTTAATCGTAATTTATCGTATGGGTACCATCTAAAATGGGTACCTAGAAGTACCTGCCTTTGATAATAGGATAAGATAATGTTGAAAGTAATTAAATTTTTTTTACCAATTCTCAAATACAAAATTCTTCTTCCCATATGATCGAAATACGGTGGTACGCTGAATATTTCCGATTCTCCTATTTGGACAAGTTTTTCGAAATCGATATCGAAAAACAGGTTGGGGTACGTTTCTCTATAAGTGTAGTAATTTACAATCTAGAAAAATACAACACAAATAAGTTTTAATTTTTGGATAAAAATTATTTACCAGTCTATGAGCCATTCTGACTATAAAATGGCGGGCCCTCAGGAATCTAAGCAAAAATGCGTCGTCAGTTCTATGAGGCTCACATTCTCCTCTTTCTGAAACAAATTATCATATTAAATAAAACATATGGCAACGTTGCTTTCTGGAAATAATAATTGACAGTTAAAAGTGGCAACAATGTAAGAAAAATTTGCTTCTTACCAAAAATCATGTCTCGTAATTCTTCTATGAGAGCTAATTTGTCGTTGGGGCTTTCGTTGATGTTTTTTTCGGCCCATTTGGCAACCTCGCTTTCTGGTTCGGGTTCTGTCAAATTGACAGTTGGCACAAGCTCATTTTCTAATTTGGTTTCTAGGCTTTCTTCTTTCAGTCGAGTTTCGGCCATTTTGGTGTTTCTGAAAGCAAAAAATAATGATTTGACAACTTCGTCAATGTCAATTTGTTTTATTCTCTGTCTCAATTTGTACACAAAATAAAAAGGGATGGAAGGCATTATCAACTTTTAATTTTCTGCAATCCAAAAGAAATTGTTAAATTTTAATTGAATTTCCAGCCATTTTGATGTTTTTGGAAACAAAAATTTGTTTAATTCTGTCTCAATTCATACAAAAAAAGAAAAGAGATAAAAGACATAAGGCTATCAACTGCAAATATCTGAAATCCAAAACAAATCAGATGAGTTTTTGGTTGAATTTCGGCCATTTTGGATGTTTCAAAAATCGGCAATAAAAATTTTGCATTTTAGTTTATTGACTTACAGGTCAATTTTCTTCATTCTGTCTCAATTTATTCAAAAAATGGAAAGAGATAGAAGGCACAAGGCTGCCAACTGCAAATTTCTGAAATCCAAAACAAATCAGAAAACGTTTAGTTGAATTTCAACCATTTTGATGTTTCAAAAATCCACAATAATAATTTGACAATGTCGTTCATTGACAGATACGTCAAAAACACACAAAACAGCTGTTTGTGCGTTTTCGATTGGGAAAATTAGTGCAAATTAAGAAAATGTAGTTCTATCTGTTTTTTTCACAGGCTGAGAGAAAAAGATGGAAATACACGACGCATATTAAATTTTCCAAACAATAACGCCATTAATGTGATTTTTGAAAGTTAAGAATACCGGTTAGGTAAAAATGTATCAATCGACTGTGCATTTGTTGAATATTGTGAAGAGTCAGAGTTGCCAACCCAAAAAAAAATCCATGGCCTACTATGATAGAAATTTATGGCGTTTCCGGTTGATAAAATAAATGCAAATAAAATGTACCTATTTCTATCTGTTTCTTTCACAGGCTGAGAGAAAGAGATGAAAAAACACTCAGTATATATTCAACTTTCCAATTATTGGAAACGCCATTAATGCGATTTTTGACAGTTAAGGATACCGGTTAAAGCCTAGTACTCATAACTGCGAAATTCGCATTTTTTTGACATAGCTTCGACAATTTGACGTTTGATTCACGCATAAAACGTCAAATTTTTTGACAATTGAATATTTTATGACAATCGAATTATTCAACAATGAATTTTTCGACAGTTAAATTTTTTTGACAACTGAATTTTTGGAAAATCATCCTTTTTTTTTGACAATCCAATTTTTTCGACAGCTGAACTTTTTTTGACAATTTTTTTTTTTTGAAATTCAAATTTTTTAACAGTTGAATTTTGTTTTTGACAATTGAATTTTTTTCTCAACAATTCAATTTTTTTTGACAATCCAATTTTTTCGATAAGTTGAATTTTTTTCAAAAGTTGTATTTTTTTGACAATTGAGTTTTTTGAAAATCATTTTTTTTGACAATTAAATTTTTTGTGACAATCGATTTTTTTTCGACAATGAATTTTTCGACAGCTGAGCTTTTTTTGACAATTGAATATTTCTTGACAATTTTTTTTTTTTTAATAAAAATTTTTAACAATTGAATTTTTTTTTACAATTGAATTTTTTTCTCGACAATTGAATTTTTTCTGACAATTGAATTTTTTTTGACAGTAATTTTTTTTTTCACCATTGAATTTTTTTAAAAATTAAATTTTTTGACACTAAGATGTTTTTTGACAATCGAATTTTTCTGACAATGAATATTTGGTTTAATGTTTTTTGACGGATGACGGGAAAATCATATGTGAAAAACTTTAAAAACTTAAAGCGATTGAGTTATTATTAATGGAGTTATGATTTTTTTTAAATAATGATGTTTTGTAAAGTAAAACTTTACAAATAATTTTTTCAGTCAAAAACTAAAGTGAGTGGAGAGTTGAAATTTTGAGGACTTTTTCCTAAAGGTTCATTGTAAAAAATACTAAAAACTCAAAGCGATTGAGTTATTATTAATGGAGTTGTGATTTTTTTTAAAATAATGATGTTTTTTAAGTAAAATTTTACAAACAATTTTTTCACTCAAAAACTAAAGTGAGACGAAAGTTGAAATTTCGAGGACTTTTTCCTATAGGTTCAATGTGAAAAATACTAAAAACTCAAAGCGATTGAGTTATTATTAATGGAGTTATGATTTTTTTAAAATAATGATGTTTTGTAAAGTAAGACTTTACAAATAATTTTTTCACTTAAAAACTAAAGTCAGTGGAGAGTTGAAATTTTGAAGACTTTTTCCTAAAGGTTTAATGTAAAAAATACTGAAAACTCAAAGCGATTGAGTTATTATTAATGGAGTTATGATTTTTTTAAAATAATGATGTTTTGTAAAGTAAGACTTTACAAATAATTTTTTCACTTAAAAACTAAAGTCAGTGGAAAGTTGAAATTTTGAAGACTTTTTCCTAAGGGTTCAATGTAAAAAATACTGAAAACTCAAAGCGATTGAGTTATTATTAATAGAGTTATGACTTTTTTTAAATAATTAAGTTTTGTAAAGTAAAACTTTACAAACAATTTTCTCACTCAAAAACTAAAGTGAATGAAAAGTTGAAATTTTGAAGACTTTTTCCTAAAGGTTCAATGTAAAAAATACTAAAAACTCAAAGCGATTGAGTTATTATTAATGGAGTTATAACTTTTTTTAAACAGTTAAGTTTTGTAAAGTAAAACTTTACAAACAATTTTTTCACTCAAAAACTAAAGTGAATGAAAAGTTGAAATTTTGAGGACTTTTTTCTAAAGGTTCAATGTGAAAAATACTAAAAACTCAAAGCGATTGAGTTATTATTAATGGAGTTATGATTTTTTTAAAATAATGATGTTTTGTAAAGTAAGACTTTACAAATAATTTTTTCACTTAAAAACTAAAGTCAGTGGAAAGTTGAAATTTTGAAGACTTTTTCCTAAAGGTTCAATGTAAAAAATACTGAAAACTCAAAGCGATTGAGTTATTATTAATAGAGTTATGACTTTTTTTAAATAATTAAGTTTTGTAAAGTAAAACTTTACAAACAATTTTTTCACTCAAAAACTATAGTGAGTGAAAAGTTGAAATTTTGAGGACTTTTTCTTAATGATTCAATGTAAAAAATACTAAAAACTCAAAGCGATTGAGTTATTATTAATGGAGTTACGATTTTTTGAAAATAATGATGTTTTGTAAAGTAAAACTTTACAAATAATTTTTTCAGTCAAAAACTAAAGTGAGTGGAAAGTTAAAATTTTGAGGACTTTTTCCTAAAGTTTCAATGTAATTCTAAAAACTCAAAGCGTTTGAGTTATTATTAGTTGAATTTCAGCCATTTCGGTGTTTCAAAAATCGAGTGTAAATAGCAACTTCGTTTATCGACAGACAATTTGTTTTCTTCTGTTTCAGTTTATTCAAAACATGAAAAAAGATAAAAGTCATCAAGGGTTACCAACTGTAAATTTTTGAAATTAAAAAAAAAAAACAATTTTGGATTATAACAGAGATCACTGTTAAGTTAACACAAGTTTTGTTAGTTAAAACAACTCTATATTGAAGAAAACTTTTAACATTTTTATATTATTTCGCTAGCTGCGACCTGCGTGATAACGTTACACTATTTTATAAATTAGACACATTAAACTCCACCAGTTTTTCATGTGGTGGTATAAAGTAGAGATTGATAGAGACATAAATAGAGGTTTGTAGTTACAGGATTAAATTTTTTTGCTAATAATCATTTTAAACATTATAAAGAAAAGTTTGTTCCATTTTTCCTAATATAAAATTAACTTTTGCTACATAAATGCCTAACAACAATAATTATTATTAAACTATTAAACTAGAGTATTTTAATAAACGTTTATTTATTACATCAGATAAGATTTTAAATTATGCTTTATAATAAAGATAATATTTTAAATCTTATTGTACCAAATCAAAGAAAATTAATTTTTCTTTATTGATTATTACTTACGTTTTGTAATTTTTACAAAAACAACAAAATATAGCAAAAATTAAAAGGCACAACGCATTTTTGTATTGACATAGACGTAACATAATGTTTTACAATAATAATTATTTCAGTTTTTCCCTAATTATTATTGTTATCTTGTAATTTTCCTTTTAACGACATTATTAGAGTTGTGCCAATAATAATTATCCAGTATAATGCCAATTAAAATTATTATAAATAAATAGTTTTTCTATTTAGGGCTTCTTGTACATACATATTTATCTCTCTATTTTTTGATTAACTTTTTTATTGATTGAAAGTCTTTCTGGCCAACGTTTCGACATTTATCTGTGTCATCTTCAAAGCTAAAAACATGAAATACAGAATATTTACTCGTAAGTATACAAAAACGAAAACCTTTTAGGTGTAAAAACTTACTCAGTAATTATATGTAGGTACCAACTACAAGTACAAAATTGTGTTTTTTCGTCTTTTTACACTATAAATATACCTAAGTACACCAAAAACCCATTTTGGAACATCGAATTAAATTCAACCTTGGACAATAAAATAGACATAATTATTATTGCTATAATATTTGCATTAAAAGAAAAATAATTGCCGTATAATTAAAAGTTGGAAAATTAACGTGTAAATCTAGGTCTTATTGCGAATATTATGAGTCAAGTCCGACAATTTCAATATAGTGAGTTAAGGTTTTCCAGTGTATGCATATTATTATTGCATATTTAGTTTTGTAATTAATAAATTGTTGTTATTAATTTTTTTGGTTTAATTTACTTGAATATATATGGATATATAGTGTAAAGCAAGTTACGTTATTTGAAATTTTAAATAGAAAATTTTAATTTCAAAATTATTTCCTAAAAAACACCAAAATGTTCGAGGATGCATTTTACCTGTTGGGATTTTAAAAGTTGATTTTCTACGGGATTAATTTAAAAGTTTAGGAAGTTAAGAAAAGAGAGAACGATAAGAAACTAGCAAATTGGAAAAAGAGCGGATACATTTTTATCTATTCCAGAGATTCGCAATAATAATTACCTATTTTAGAAAGAAGAAGAAAAACTTCAAAAAGAAACGTATAGTCTTAGTAATGTTTTTTAAAAGTATATTTTTCTTATATAAAACTAAAATATTTTTGAGGTCATTTTAGTTCTAAATTTTGAAACAATGATTTATGAAAATAAATACCTGAACAAGTACCATTATACACTTACTATACTTGAAATCAATATACAAATACAAATAAGAAGTGATTCAATAAAAATAAAATTGAAGGTTACTTTACTCATTGTAACGAGAAATAAGATTACCTTGAATTTATACACTGTGGTTTTATGCAGTAGGTAGAATTTATAAGAAAACTATTATTTATTGGTTGTATTGTTAAAACTTATTTTGTTCAGAAAAATTTAAATTTAAAAATTCATTTGGAATAATTAAAACACAATCTATCTATATTTTTCATATGTTGATAGAACAAGATACAACATCAACATAGTTTATTATTGACAGCATTTTTCAAATGTCACTTAGTTGAGTTGTTGTCGAAACGGCGCGAAATTCAAACATTTAAGTTTGTGAAATAAAAATACATAACGTAATATAATTTTAAATACAACCTATTGATGTTCGACCCCATTTTGATTTCATTTATCTTTAAACTATGTATTGTTTAAGTATATATTGTTTTCAATTCATATAGCAAACACTTTACTTGAAAGTACAAATTCCAATATTTCAAATTTTTATTAAAAATCAATATAATAATTGTGAAATACATAATATATTATGCTTTCATTAATTATTATTGTTAATCAGTAGTTATTTTATCTTTAACTTTTCAACCTTTGGAATAGCATTTGAACTAATTTTGTGCATTTTTCATTGATTGCTATAATAATTTTAAATACATAAATTGTTTATTGTTATAATATATGTGTATGATTGAATTAAACAAATAATTTTTTGCAAACAAAAAAAATCACTTACCTTGATAAAAAAACTAACAAAACAATATATTGTTTATACACTCAAAAAAAAAAAAAAAACAATCCTCATTTAAGTACATGAAATAAAAAAAGTACTTTTAAGTATTGTAAACAAGTGCGCACTCTGCCAAGTTCAAAACTGAATTAAAATTTTAAGTAAAGCACAACGCGTGCTTAGATTTTTCATTATCAGCAAAACTATAATACTGAGAAGGGATCGAGCTTTATATACTTATGTGGTGTAACAATTCACGTTTTGAAAAGAGCTTCGTGCTTTGTTTATAAATAAACAAAGGCAATAGTTTTTTTTATAAGTGTTGATGATTCAATTATTTATTGTATGTATGTACAGAGTGGTTTTTTGTTAATTGTTTAATTAAATTTTGAATCTAAATCTTATGTCAAAATATTTTAGTAGTAAACCTTTAGTAAACACATTTGTGAACAGTAAAATTTATATAAATTCAATATTTTTTTTTTGTCAGCATTAGTTTCATGTCAAGTTGATGTAAATACTATGTAAACTATAAAGGTTTTTGTAACCCAATTTCTTTTATGTAATTTTTATCTTTAATTTGGTTTTTTCAAGTTCATTTTCAAGATTTTCTCATGTTGCCATTTTTCATTGAATCAATTTGGAATTTTAATGTCCAGTGACGTGAATATTGTTCAAAAAGTGGGCTATTACCATTTGAGCACCAGGTAGGGAAGGCAAGGCAACGTAATCATAGAATTGCATTTTTATTTGTCATTGTACGCATTTTCTCACAGCTCCAATAAATAATACTTACATAGTTAAAATTATACAGAGTGGCAAAAAAGTCGCGCAATATACCTGTAACTTTTTAATAACCTCGTATACGAAAAAGTGACCTTAATGAAAGTTGCTCAGTAAATTATTTTTACCTGGACAAATTCTTTCTGTCACTCTTGGTTTGTTAACTATCCAGACCAACTTTGTTTTTTCAAATAAAACACCCTGTATGTGATTGCATATTTGGATTCCACGTGAAATTCTGAGTAGATTTCATGTAATATACCCTATACCTAAGTTCAACTGTTTTGGAAATATTGACAATTGAAAATTGACTTTTTGCAACTTTGAGAGGCTGTAAAATCTAAACGTTTAATTTTAGAGGAAAACCGATTTCACATTCCTATCTTAGATTTTCATAAACTATCATTCGACACCAACTTTGAATTTAATCTACAGGGTGTATCAGGTTTGACTACAAAAAATTTAACACATGAATATATGGCCCATTTTGAACAAAAAAAGTTTATACAACATGGGGTCCAAACTCAACCATTTTTAAGAAAACGGCCTTCGACATTTTTGACAAATATTTTAAAGTTAAAGAAAATTTTGATCATTATGAAATGTAGAAAAATTTAGTCTATCCAATTATTAAGTAATTATGCATTTTCAGTCAACAACAATAACAAAAAATCGGAAAAACAACATACAAATTTCACTTGTAAAAGGGTATCTAAACATCTGGCAACACAGCACAATAAAGGAAAAGGTGATTGAAGGTTGAACCTTGGTGGAGCTGAATAAATTGATTCTTAATTTGTCTTTTCTAGTTGGGAAACGCGCGTAATTTAAATTCATTCTTTTTTGAAAATAAAATGTTTAGAAACATCGAATATGCAGATACTTGTTTAGGCAGAATCGTTGCAAAATGCTCATTTAGCTACCAGAATTCACAGTGAAACTAGGGAAAGATTTTCCAAAAGAAAAGCACTCACCTGATAGAAGAACATTGTGCTCGTGTTACAAAGATTGAGTGATACAAGAAGTGTGAGTTGTGAGTGTGCAAAATCTGCGAGTTGATTTTAGTGTTTTGAGAACTTTTCAACAAAAATTAATATTTTTATAATAAGGCAAGTAGCTGAGTAAGTATTATTTGATTTTTCTCTTGAATGTTTAGTGCAAAAATGTCATTCAATGCAATTCACAACTTAATAAAATGGCACATTTTTTTATTTTTACTAGAAAAGTGATGAAAATGCAAGTTGTTATTCACATTATTTGAAAGCCAATAACAAACCAAAACTATTCTATCCCAAAACGTAAACAGATATACTTTTAGCTTTAAATGGGCTATATTATCTCATGTTAAAATATTTGTAGTCATACCTGTATAATTAAAAATTCCAATTAAATTTAATCTCCGATTAAAGGACATGGCACTAAATATTAGAATCATGGTGATCGGCCGATTTTTTTAAAAGTGCAGTATGTTATTCTATACCTGAAAACAAGCATTTCTGTTTATGGTCACTTCTTTGTACGAGTATGGGATGTCCCAGAAAATTGAGTTCAAAGTTTTTATATGAAATATTTTCTTTAAGCATAAACTTATGTTTAGTCGTTGTTTAACTGATCTGTTATGTGATTTTGCAACTTATATATTAAAGACAAAGCTATTTATGTAGTTAAGGACAAAAATTATTATACAGGGTGTCTCAAAAATTATATTTTGAACCAAACTACTCTCTAAACAACGCCAATAACCAAAACAACTGCTACAAAACTATAATAACCTAAATATCAATAATAACTACAAACATTGTAACAATGATCACCAGAGACTATTTGAAGTAGCTGCTGTTCCTTGGAAACGATTTGGATTTAATACTATAGAAATAGATCAACAAATACAAAAATATGCCATATAGGCCCAGTTTCACAATTGGTGGTAACCTTGTGGTAACCTGCACTGGCTATCGGACTCATATTTGCGGGTTGACTACATAGAACATTCTGAAGCTTGACCAAAGGTTTTGGCTAAATTACACATTAAGAAACAGATATATTGTAGGTTACCAGTATCTTGTGTTTACCGTTGGGTTACCATTGTTTGTGAAACTGGCCCTCACTGTGTTGTTAATACAACAGACCAATACATATTATTCAAAATCACTAAACCGATACATCAAACATTTAATATAAAAACTTTGAACTCAATTTTTTTACCCGGTATTTTGGTTATTGATGGCTTTCTTTTGAGTGTAGTTTAGTTTAAAATAAAATTGTTGAGACACCCTGTATAATAATTTTTGTTCGTAACTACATAAATATCTTTAATGTATAAGTTGCAAAAATACATAACAGATTAGATAAACATAGTTTATGCTTCAAACGAAATCTTCCATATAAAAACTTTGGACTTAATTTTCTGGGACATCCCATACTCGTACAAAGAAGTGACCATAATCAAAAATGCTTGTTTTCAGGTATAGAATAACATACCGCAGTTTTAAAAAAATCGACCGATCACCAGGATTCTAATATTTAGTGCCATGTCCTTTAAGATCGGTGTCAAATGATAGTTTATGAAAATCTAAGATAGGAATGTGAAATCGGTTTTCCTCTTAAATTAACCATTTCGGTTTTACACGCTATCAAAGTTGCAAAAAAGTTAATTTTCAACTGTCAATATTTCCAAAACAGTTGAACTTAGGTATAGGGTACATCACATGAAATCACATACAGGGTGTTTCATTTGAAAATACCAAGTTGGTCTGGATAGCAAACAAGCGAGAAGTGACAGAAACAATTTGTCCAGGTAGAAATGTAGGAAATAATTTACTAAGCAACTTTCATTGAGGTCACTTTTTCATATACGAGGTAATTAAAAAGTCAGCTATTATATATTATATTTGAATATAGGTATTAGTTTCAATGCCTTGTCAGGTAATTGTATTTTTAATCAATATACAATTTAGTGACACTCCGAGTATTATTTCAAAATCCTTTAATAATTTAATAATAAAATAATTGAGCAATCACTCCCTATCTTAACTTAGCATTTGACTTAAATTAGATTGTAGATTGTAGATTTCAGGGGAGTCGTTTCGGCTTTTCAGCCGCTCAGCACTGCTACCTTTGCAGATATTTTGTGCGTGACTCTACATCTTAATTTCTCTCCAGGAAGCGTAGACTTCTGTCGAAGGAAGCTATTTTCCTGGGCGTAAGTTGACCCACTTCTTCTGGTGACAGTGTTACCCCTTCGAGGAATTTGAGCCTCTTGCAGAATTGGGCTGGGCATTCGCAGGACAGGTGCTCTGCGGTTTCTATTGCGTCTGAGCAAAATTTGCAAAAATCGTCTTCTACTCTGCTCAATAACCTTAAGTGGTATTTCACCAGGCAGTGTCCTGTGAGCAGTCCTACCACCAATCTGATGTCTGGTCTGCTCCTGTTTAAGAGCTGTTCAGCTCTTTTTGCTGAAAGGGTAGTAAACCTTTTTGACTGTCTGAGTCCCGGTGTGTGCCTCCAATATGATAACAGTTGGTCTTTCTCCCATTTGTTGAGTTCTTCCATGATGTGGCTTTTCATTAAGCCACAGTAGGGCTCTGGTCCGTGGTGACTTAAATTAACTAAGCATTTGATTTCTTACAGTTAACATTTCACCCAAGTAATAACCCTTGATAATTATATCGCTATACAATTTGTTATTGTATCTTAAAAATCCAGCTCACGTAATCATTGCTTCGCTCCACACACACATGCTTCGAATATAATTTCTTTCCAGCAACGGTATCAGTTACTTGACATCTGGGTTCGTCATGAACCGTGGGTATTCAGAAAATTATCTTTGACTTTGAATTAACTATTACAACCACATGGGATCTGGTTCAGTTGACAGATTATTTTAAAGTTTGGTGTTTATCTAAGAAAACATAAATTTTATCAATTTCGGGTTATGCAAAATAATCTTGAAACTATAAAATTCGATACTTTTTTGGTTTTCAAGTAATTTTTGACAGATTAAGTGATTCGCAGAACTCCATGTGTTTGTAAATCCATTAGGGTCACATTTTAATTATCTATAAAAGTAAATAAACTGTTTCCAGGAAAGATGAGCTTGAATCGAGATTATGAATTTGCTATTGATTTTGTTACAAAATCACAATAAATGAGTTCTTTTTGCTTCATCACGGAGTTTTCAAGAAGTCTTGCTCTACCACAAAATTGAGGGTTGTCTTTGACGGGTCTGTTAAATCATCCACTGCTTGAATGACACTTTCAAAGTAGGTAGGTGCAAAACATCAAGACGATCTTATGTTCAATCCCCATTACAACTTTATACATAAAAGCAATCTGACATTTGACGCAAAATATCCATTGTCAAGAAACAAGTGCTTCGCGAATTGCAGAAGACACCAGAGCATCGAGATCAGAAACCTCGTCTCTAGTGACTTCGCCTGTAACCGATG